ATTCATTTGATCCTCACAACAACCCTGTGAGGTAGGTGCTATTATAATTATTCCCATTTTTACAGATGAAGATACTGTGGGTGAGAGGTGAGGTGATTTGCCTGAGTCACTCAGCTAGTGTCTAAGGCAGAATTTGAACTCAGATCAGGTCTACTGTACTTAGCAGCCCTCAAAATGAAGGCCCACCAAGAAACTGAGAAAGCATCTGAAATGAACTTGGCACCTGCTCCATCTAGTAGCCAATGGTGAGTTTTAATATGCTCTTAGACTATAACCCCCTTAAGGGCAGAGACTGTTTTTTGCCTTTCTTTGTATCCCCAGAGGTTAGCACCCTGCCTGGCACATAATAGACTAATAAATGTTTATTGACTGACTGACTTGCATCAACAGAGATGTGGCCCTCTGATTTCATCTTCATATGGAAAGGAAGAAGAAACTGAACTTAATATAAAATGAGCTACTGCACTCATTGTCCAAATCCACCTAGCTACAGCTGTTTATGCCTCAGGATTGAGTGGTACCCAATTTCAGACAATCACCTTCCTTAAACCTATGCAGAAAACCTAAGTTTTGCCTAGTAATTATCGGTGTCATCTTTCAAGTCAAAAATTTCAAGTTCTAAAGAAATGTCTTGATAGAAAGTTCATAAAATTCTGAGAGGCAGAAAAGATTACAATGGAAAACAGCTGGAAGCCAAATGATATCTGCAGAGTATTAAAGGCTCTTCCACATTATTCTAGGTTGGTCCCCAAATAGCTGCAGAGATAAGGAGATAATTATATTTAGCATTTTATAGTTTACAAAGCACTCACAAAATCTTCTGAGCTAATTCTCACAACAATCTTCAAATATACCAGGGCAGGTAAAACAAAGTCTATGTGTATCATCTTATTGTATAGGAAACAATTTCAGATTAAGTGATTTGATCAAGTTCTCATCAAAGGTAAAGTAATAGAGCTAAGACTAGAACTCAGTTATTCTGACCCCCATCAACTGTACTTTTTCACACTTGTCTTCAAATAAATGGCATGACAAAAATAATTTTAAAAGGCCACTTAATTATATAGTATGTTTTAAATAAACCTGCTTGATGCTGTTCCTAATTCACATGCTCCATACTTTGCACAGACTTGACCCTCATGCCTGGAATGGTCTCCTGCCTCACCCTCAGGGCTCTTGGAATCTTTAGCTACCTTCTAGGCTCAGCACATGTCACAAGAAAACTTTCTGTGTTCATGTTGTTTGGCCCCAGTAAGCTCCTTAAGGGAAGTGACTTACTCATTTGTTTCTCTGTAACTCCAGTACCTGGCATAGTGCCTGACACATAGTAAGTGTTTAACAAATGCTTGTTGAATTGAACTGAATGTAACTGTCCTAAAATCTTCTTACTAATTTACAACAAATTGCAAAACAGGGCTAAAGTGTTTAACCTAGCTGCTCATGCCCTCACACCCATGCTCTCTATGTAAACTTCTTTTAAGAGTCCTAATACTGATAAAGTTCTTAGGAATCACACGAATCATCTTCCCATATAGGAATGTAAACAGTTTAACTTTATTGAATCCCTTATGATTTTTCTTTCCCGTCTACCTTTTTATGCTTAAGTTTTATGTATGAATGTCAAATTTTCTATTCAGCTCTAGTCTTTTCATCAGGAATGCTTAAAAGTCCTCTATTTCATTAAATACCTATTTTCCCCCTGAGGGATTATACTTTATTTTGCTGGGTGGTTATTCTTGGTTGTAATCCTAGCTCCTTTGCCTTCCAGAATGTCACATTCCAAGTTCTCTACTCCTTAAATGTGGAAATTGCTAAATCCTGTGTGACCCTGACTGGAGTTCCACAATATTTGAATTTGAATTGAATCTGTTTCTCTCTGGCTCCTTGCAATATTTTCTCCTTGACCTGGGACCTCTGGAATTTGGCTATCATATTCCTGGGAGTCTTCATTTTAAGATCTCTTTCAGGTGATCAGTGAATTCTTTCAATTTATATTTTACACTCTGGATTTAAGATATCAACAGTTTTCCTTGACAATTTCTTGAAATATGTCTAGGCTCTTTTATTATGACTTTCCTGTAGCCCAATAATTCTTAAATTACTTCCCCTCAATCTATTTTCCAAGTTAGTTATTTTTCCAATGAGATATTTCATATTGTTTTATATTTTTTCATTCTTTTGACTGTTTTGTTTTCTGATGTCTAATGGAGTCATTAATTTCCACTTACCCAATTCTAATTCTTAAGGAATTATTTTCTTCAGTGAGCTTTTGTACCACTTTCCCCATTTGGCTAATTCTTCTTCCTAAAGAGTTCTTTTCTTTAGTGAATTTTTGTACCTCCTTTTTCCATTTGGCTAATTCTGCTTTTTAAGGTGTTTTTTCTTTGATATTTTTTGTGCTTCTTTAACCAAGCTATTAATTCTCTTCATAATTTTCTTGCATCACTCTTTCTTTTCCCAGTTTTTCCTCTCTTTCCTTATCACTTTCTCTCCCAGGAATTCTTGTTGGGCTGTGCCCAGTTAGCATTTTCTTTGAGGCTTTGGTTGTAGCAATTTTTATGTTATTGTCTTCTTCTGAGTTTGTGTCTTGGTCTTCTCTGCCACCATAGTAGCTTTGTTGTTGTTGCTGTTGCTCATTTTCCCAACCAATTTCTTGACTTTGAACTATGTTGAAGTTGGGCTCTGCTCATTGGGGTGGGGAGGTACTGTTCCAAAGCTCAGGCTTTTTCACGCTGCTGATTTCAGAACTAGTTCTGCAAGGTAGTGTTACCCTGGGAGAAGTGTGGTCACTGCTCTCCTGGTCTGTGCTCTGGTCTTTACTCAGGGAGAGCTGCTGCTCTCTCGTAACCACATGCTCTAGCACTTCTTTTGGCCTTGGAACTGTGACTAGGTCCCTTGTTCTTCTGCCACTGCAAATGCTAGAGCTCCTCTTGGCTCTGGAACTGTGACCAGGACCCTTGCTCCCTTGTGATCAACCATAAGCACTCCTCTCCACCCTGGAACTATGACCAGAACTGTACATGGGCAACAGAGTGCCAATCAGTGCCAGCTGTACCCAGTGCCAGCAACAGGTCCCCTGTAATCTCTTTCTAATTAGCTGTCTGACCCTCTTACTCTCTCTGGGCTGAGCTCTCCAGCTGCTGCTGGTGTGTCTGTGTGCTTTGGACAGATCTCCCCTCTCATTCTCTTCTTAATTCTCTCCGGTCTGGCTTCCAACCTTATCATTCAACCAACTATTTTCTCCAGAGTTAATAATGATTTCTTTTTTTGCCAAAACTAATGGCCTTTTCTCAATCCTCATCCTTCTTAACCTCTCTGCAGCCTTTTGACAGTCCTTGGTGACCCTCTTTTCCTTCATACTTTGTGACACTGATACTACCTATCTGACTAATCTTTTAGAGTCTCCATTACTGGATCGTCATCCAGGCCACGCCCACTAACCAAGCAGGTTATCCTGTGGGTGTCCTATAGGACTCTCTTCTCCTCTTCCTCTATATCTCATTGCGTGATCTCATCAGCTCCCAATCGATGATTTCTGAGGATAATCCTCTTATCTACTTATCTAGCCCTAACCTCTCTGCTGACCTCCAGTCTTTCATCTCCAACCATTAGACATGTTGACCTGGATGTTTCATGGCCATGTTAAACTCAACATGTACAAAACTGAACTCATTAGCTTTTCCCCTGACCCTTCTTGCTTCTAACTCTACTCATACTGTAGAGGGCACCACCATTCTACTTCTCCCCTTGCCTTGCAACCCAAGTGTTATTCTTGATTCCTTACCCACCCACTATCCAATGTGTTGCCAAGGTCTGTTTGTAACACCTCTCATATCCATCCCCTTCTCTCCTCTTACACTGCGACCATTTGAGTGCAGGCCCTCATCACTGCAGGCCTGGACTATTGCAAAAGCCTCCTAGTGAGTAGGCATGGCAGAAGTTCCTCCCCACTGCAGTCCATCTTCCACCCAGCTGTCAAGTGATCTTTCTAAACCATAGGTCTCACCACGTCACTCCTATTCAATGAACTCCAACGGCTCCTTATTACATCCTGTTGGTGTCCAAAGCCCTTCATAACCTAGCCCCAACCTCAACTCCTTCCCAGGCTTCTTACACCTTACCCATCCTCATCTACTCTTTGATCTGATGACAATGGCCTCCTTACTGTTCCTCAAATAAAACACTATTTTCCACTGGTTATACCCCATGCAAGGAATGCTGTTCCTCTTCTAAGCCTCCTGGCTTCCCAGAAGTCCCAGCTAAAATACCCACTTATACAGGAATCCTTTCCTGATCCCTCCTAATTTTAGTGCCTTCTCTACGTAGATTATGTTTTACTTATCCTGTGTACAGTTTGTTTATATAGCTACTGAGTGTTGTCTCCCCCTTTAGACTGTGGGCTCCTCAAGGACAGTACCTTTCTTTTTACCCCCAACACTTAACACAATGCCTGGCACAAAGCAGGTGCTTAATAAATGACAGACTAGGCATGTGGATTTTAGTCTCCCAGTCCAGTCAGGTAAGAGTCAATAACAATCATTAAGTACCTACTATGTGCCAGGAAGACAGTAATTTAACTTTCTAAGAATAAATTTACTTTTTCAATGTTTACTTTCTTCTTTTGATACTCGAATCGCATTGCTCACAAAGTCCACCAGTTTATTCTGTGATCGGCACATGCTACATAACAACTAAGTGGATCTGACTTTACAGGACACGTGGACCATGCTCCTATCAGGCACACAGGACAGCATCTAACATACTAGAAGAAAAAAAAAATCCAGAAGAATCTTGAAAACATACTGTAATCTCTTTTCATAATGCTACTTCTCTGCAGCATCCCCTAGGTAGTCAGTGAGCATTTTATCTTGCATTTAGATAATTAATATTATGATACTAAAAGCAATGCTACCTTCTACCCTCGCTTGTAAAATAACTCCCAAATATTTTACTGCTGCCTCTGTGTGTGTGTGTGTGTGTGTGTGTATCCATGGAAAGCCTTTTGAGGGCAGAGATAGTTTCCTGTTTCACTTCTGTCTTGTAGCTCCAATGCTTTAGCACAGTGCCTGGAACATTATAATTGTTTCAGAAATCCTTGGTGCTTGACTGAAGTATGGCTTCTTGATGAAGAGAAAGTGATTGGATAGGTTTGTGTGAAATTACAATTCTCATGTCATAATTTTTATTATCTATAGAATATAATGAAAATTTTGCAACTAAGAATATTTTTTGGCCACCACAGCTAATCTCTTAAACAACATAATGTTGTTGTAACACAAATGAATTACAATAATTATTCACCACAAATTAACATGAGGGGAAAAGTAAAGTTTCTATATGTTTTGTAATAGCGTCCATCTCCAAAAGAACAAAAATTTCCATGTTTTCAGTTGAATTGAATGTTATTTTCTTCAAGAATATCCTTTTTTTCATGGAAATAATTCCGAAACCATTCTATATGCTCAACTTTTTCTTTAACAGTTAGAAATGGGTTTTTTGAGAGTCCACAAGTAACAAGTTCCATGAAATGACGAATTGGTCCTTGCTTTGGAAAATCTTCCAGGTATTTATCCAAAAATACATGTTCATGAAAACCAGCACCATCATCATCAACTCCTAGAAAAAAAACACATATAATTTGAATGTATACACAAATATAACTCAGAAATATATTAAAAGCTCTAAGTCAGCTCATTGCTCTTTCCCCCAATTAAGAATAAGAAAGGTTTCTTTCACAAAAGCCTTAAAATGAATATATTTATGTCCCATATTTCCCAAATAAACCGGTCCTGCAATGAATTCTGAATTTTTTATCACTGCTTTTGGGAGTGGGATTTTTTTTTTTACATTGTGTAATATGTTGAGACACACATGAAGATAGCAATCTCATTTAAATAAGTAAGCTATTTTAAGCTGGAAACTGATATTTTCACTAAATCTATTAAATAAATTGGTATCCTTTTGTGACAAATACACAGAAATACTCTTTCATATTAGAAATCGATCCCCTAATCTATGAGATGCAGAGAAGGTGCCAACCTGCATTGCAGAGGTCGTTTCCTCATCCAAAGAGATTCTTGTAACACTGAAATCACAATTCCATCCCTATCCCTAAGTCTGAGATGATCTAGGTGTTTATTATTTTGGAGAGTCTAGGATGGGCAGGCAAGGGATTATTTGATCCATTGATTGGATAAGGAAGCGGAGGGGGAGGGAAAAGAGTATACGAGGAAGTACAAGGATGAGAAAGACCAATCATGCTTCTTATTACCCTTGTATGATCAGGGAGGGGTCTGTAATCATTTTAGCCAAGAATGTCTCTTAAGTGAACATACCTGTCATTTCAGGGCTGAAATGCCAAAGGAAGTAAAAAAAGTAAAACAGAAATAAGAGATACACATAATAGGATGGCAACGTCACCAAGAACTTAACTCCAGTGTCACTCTAACACCTGAACCATGCAAGAAAACGCATTAGGGCAAAAGTCAGTTTATAAGAATAATCTCCAAACTATTTTTGCATAGAGAACATCTTTGGGCACTGGATTAAATTTAGCCATCTTCACTCTGAATTATGTTTCTACTTTCTTTGTGTCCATGACACAAAAAAAGGTTCAGAATCTCTGCTCTGGATTCTCTCCATGCTACCCCCATGAGTCTCTTCTAGCAGTTTCTTCTGGCCTTAAATATCAAAAAATATACCAATATGGGCTCTACAATATTAAACTTCTTCCCCATTACTCCAGGCAGATGGCCTTGCATAAAATAGGTCCTCAGTAAACAGGCTGTCAAATGAATTGAGCACATCCAAACTGGCTCATTCTGTGCCATGTAATGTGAAAGTGTGGCAATGAAAAGGGAATAAGAAGTCAAAACAATTATATTTGACATAATTCAAAATAGAGAATTACTGACTTCAGGTAACATCTCATTACTTCCTCAAATGCAATTATAATTATTTTGATTAAAGACAATTCTTGCTTGGGCACATATTCAAGGAACAAAGCTTGTTAACTGGGTGTTGCTATATTATTCCTAAATTTATCGAACAGTCAAATCCACAAAGGGTTTAGCGTCTCCTCAACCCAATGCTTAAGAGACATGGAAAAAAATCACCTTGTTGTACCTAGTTAATATCATCTGATAGCCTCTGAAAATGTCCAAGAAGTGTGAAGAATTGTGGAAGAAACAACCACTTTGAATTTTAAAAGTTACTTTACATGCTGCTTTAGGTGCCATAAATACAAAAGCTTTACACACACACACACCCTAACTTTCTGGCACCAGAAAAAAGCACAACACCAAGAAGTTAACTATAACCACTCAAAGTGTCATTTTCATTATAATGTTCCAATGCTCACATTTGTTCAATCATTGAACTAAAGAAAAACTTACTTTACCTCATAAAGTATAAAGACCGTTTTAAGTAAAGCAACGATGGAATTTCCTTTGCCAAAGGAATGTGTGTAAATCTTCATGGAACTCATTAATGACAAGTGTGAAGAACATGATATCTGATAACCTTTGTTTAACAAAAATGAAAATTAAATACCAAGGACAACAAAAGGAAAATAGCCCCCTATTGTGAGGAACCAGTTCACAGTGCAGGTTCCTCAAAGTCTTCAGAAGTTTACAAATGTGTGGTGAAGAGGGAGATCAAATTCAAAAAGTTTCCATGGTTTCTTTCCTGTTTTTCCTTCAGATGTTCAAATGTCTTAAGGAGCTGGAAATGAGACACCTCCTTTTCCTACACTACAGCATCAATAATATGCAGTGTATATAGATACCTGTCACATTTTTCTTCCCTGACTGATCAAAACAGATGTTTTCCCCCTTCTCAGAGACTAAACATTCTCACTGACTTTATCGACTTTAAGATAAATTTTTGCTAGGCACTGAAATTCAATACTGTTTGTTGAATGGAAACAGAAATCTCATAGTTGTTATGACAATGTGCCCTGATTCACCTTCCTATAACCGTACTTGGTAACCACTTGCACCAGGAAATACAGTTGATATTTCAGATTCAAAAGTTATACTATACAAAATAAAAAAAAATGCACAGCAATACGAGAAGTCCAGCTATCCAGAGGATATAATACAAGGCCATACCTAATTACACTGGAACACTACCTTATCAAAATGTTAACTTTGTCAGGGCTTAAATCACCCAATTTGCATAATAGTTATTAATGTTTTAGGAATGAATGAAATCATTTTCTTGAGAAGAGGTTTTTTTTTTTTAACCAATTCTATTTTGTTGCATTTTCAAGAACATGTACAAGTATTTTAAAACACGAATAAACATATGTAATACGTGAGTAATGTGTACAATAAAATTGTAACATGACAAGAGAAAATTCAGCAAGACTCAAAAAAGATTCTGTAACATTTAACCTTCCTTAAAAATAAAGGAACAAGGGGCAGCTAGGTGGCACAGTGGATAAACCTCCAGCCTTGGAGTCAGGAGGACCTGAGTTCAAATCCAACCTCAGACCATGACACTACTAGCTGTGTGACCCTGAGCAAGTCACTTAACCCCAATTGCCTCACCAAAAAAATAAATAAATAAAGGAACAATGAAAGCTAGTTCAGGGCTACCTAAAATTTTCCATTCTATTCCATTCTAAAATATTCCATTCTATATTCAATTGAAAATACACAAGTAACATTTTAAAAAAGTATTTCCATCTCAAAATAGAAATTCTATTACAGTGCTAATTAAAAATCAAAAAGCCTAAAATTCTATTTAAACTTCCCAAAACCTATGTAAAAGTTTGTCATTTTTATGCAGTTCGGTGACATACCTTTTCTGATCCACTAAAGAAATTCAGTGGCTCTCTACTGAATGAAAACAACTATTCAAAAGAATATTCAGAAAATATTTGATACGTTTTAGCTGATGGCAAAACAGGATAAACAAATATACTGTAGCTAGGCTGTTTTCCTCTTGATTTAGGTAGCTCCAGCATTCAAGGGGAATAGAAAAAAGATGCCAGATTCTTAGTTCAAGGCCTCCTGCGCTTTGTTTGTGGAAACAACTTTTCTGAGAATCATGGCTTCCCATGGAAAATTTGCGTAAGACCTTTCAAATTCATAACACATTCAATTTATAAGAAAACCAACTTTCTATAGAGGAATTAATGTTTCAGATATAGGTTAAGGTAGATAAGCTGAGGTACTTTTAACTCAGTGATTTTATACAGTGAAGATTTTAAAGTCCCACTAAGATCTTAAAAGCAAACTCAAAATCTGTTCAACTCTGTATAATGCATTAGAAGTGCCACACCATAATGTCTTCAGAATTTAAAAAGATGTCACTACTTAAATGGATACAATAAACTTTATTAACATATGACATCAAGAATGAACATCTGCCATGTCATTTTTCATGTTTCCTTGCTAAGTGGCCAGGAATAAATGGAAATCTAAAAGTCTTATCTCAAATCTCTCTAAAAACTCATTTTAAGGTAATAAGAAGGTATTTACTCAAATTAATATACACATATGGAGTTTCCACCTTAGAATCTACCAGAAGTAGTTTCCATCTCCTAATTTAGAAAAAAAAAACAAACAACATACCAGCTTCATTGTTAATTGGGAACGTCCAGAGTTTTCCCTCTTTTGTCCATTGGATCATCTCTTCAAAAGCATTCTGGGGGGGCTGTTGATTTACTTTGGCTAACTGTTTAGCAAATTCCACATCCCAAAGTGTTGGTGATGTCTCTGTAGTAAACAAATTACTTCAAATAAGTGTAACCATAAAGATCTTTATCCCAAAAAGTTAAAATTGAACATTAATACTAGGTTTTTAGACTCATGAAATTTACAAGATAACGTTCATAAGACTATTTCACTTATTATCCATAATTGAGAAACACTAGAAAGGTTAACGTTTTGACTTGAATGATATAACGATTTAAGCTTTCTTCTAATATACAGAAGGTTCAACTTCCTATTTGCTGAAAAAAAAAAACCTCAAACAATTAAAAATGATGTCTTTTCCTATAAAGGTAGAGAACTTATAGAATTTTAAGGATGCCTTCATAACTAAGGTGTAGTCTAATAGAAAGTATGTTGGAAATGGAGCCTGCCCCTTATAAGCTATGTAAACTTCAACAACTTATTTCATTTTTCTGAACTGTGGTTTTCTTTGCTATAAAGGGGAATGATAATATTTGCACTATATATCTTACAGCCTAGTTGTGAGGGTTAAATATATGTTAAATACCTTAGAAACCATAAAGTACCATAAAAAATGTCAGTAGTTACTTTGTTATTATTGTAACTAACAGGTTTCATTACATTTCAAAGGCTTATTGAGGTAAAAGTAAACATTACAGAAAAGAACAAAATTTCCAAAGTCCCAGATGCCTTTTCGTTCTTTTTTAAATTAACTTTTTTCTTCAAAAGAAGATCCACCTGCTCTCCCTTCTACTTCCCTCTCCCATTGAGAAAGCAAGAAAAACAAAATCTTTCTTATAAACATGTATAATCAAACAAAACAAATTCTCACATTAATGTTAGCTATTATTAAAATTGAACTTGATCTTGTTAATAATTATCTGGTACCTGGAATAGATTTCATCAAGATAAGAATTAAAGACTTCTCAGTTTTGATGACCAGTAAAGGCATCAATACAAATAATGTGATTAGTGCTATTCATAGCAATTCTCACAAAATTCCCAGTAGAAAAAGCCGCCTTAGTTCTTAAGACTTCAGAAGGAATCACACTGTATAAGTTTTCTGTGTTTTACTACTGTAACTAAAAAAGCATTTATTAAGCACCAGTTACTATGTGCCAGGCACGGAAGGCATAAGTACAAAAAATGACACAATCCTCATCCATAAAGATCTTATGTTCTTTCTTTCTTTCATTTTTTTTTTTTTTTTTGGCTAGGCAATGGGGTTAAAGTGACTTGCCCAGGGTCACACAGCTAGTAAGTGTCAAGTGTCTGAAGCCAGATTTGAACTCAGGTTCTCCTGACTCCAGAGCTGGTGCTCTATCCACTGGGCTGCCCAGCTGCCCCAAGATCTTATATTCTAATGAAGGAAAGAATAGGTACATATCTATATATATATATACACACAGCATAAATATAGAGAATAGATACAAATGTATACAAAAAGTTAAATACAAGGTAGTTTGGGAAGGAGGGCATGAGTAGTGTGGGAAAATCAGGCAAGATTTCATGACAAAGATGGTCCTTGAGCTGTGTCTTACAGGAAGAAACGGTACGGAGTGCATTCCAGGCAGAGAGAACAGCTAGTAGGGTAAAGGAATAGAGCTATGAGATGCAGCTGTACGTGAAAAACAGAAAGAAGGCCCTTAAGGCCGAATCACAAAGTACAGGATGGGGGAGTAATGTTCAATGAGACTGGAAATATAAGTTGCGTCCAAGACATATAGGCCTTTAAAAGTTAAAACAGTTGATGTTTTATTCTAGAAGTAATAGAAAGCTACTGGAGTTACATGAGTAGGGCAGTCACATGGTTAGATTTGCACTAAAGAAAAATTACTTCAGCAGCAGCTTGTAGAATAGACTGCAGTGGTGTGAGACTTGAGACAGGGAGAGCAATTAGGAGGCTGTTACAATAATCTAGGTAAGATGCTGATAAGGGCCTGAAATAACATAGTAGTTATGTGAACATGAAGAAGAGTTCCAATAAGAAATATGTTATGCAGGTTGAAATGGCAAGACTTGGCAAATGACTATATATGTGAGATGATGAAGAACATGAGTCAAGGATAATGCTGGAGTTACAAATCTGGCAGTATTTTCAACAGAAATGGGAAGTTTAGAAAAGAGAAGGGTTTGGGAAAAAGATAATCAGTTCAGTTTCTTGAGGACATCCAATTTTAAATGTCCAAAATGGTGGTGCTACACTTCATTTTATTCTCCTCTTTACTTAAACCACTGCCCCAAAGGCTTTAAAGTACAAATTGCAGACACTATAGGTTATTAAGAGACAGCTCATTGTTTGAATGAATGAAAATATACCAATGTAATCAGATGTCATCATTCATATAGAGATAATAAAATTCATTCTTTACTATGATTGCAACCTTGATCCAAATGTTCAAGTCATCCCATCCATGCGGAAACCAACTAAGAAGATGAAAATTAAAGTTGAGCTATAGTCTGCTTCCTCTTCCACCTACCAGGCAACGATAATACAGTAGCAATCATGGTTTCAAGTAATAATAAGTGTAGAAAATGAAAGACATGAGCTTCTCTGAACAAAAGAGAGTCATACAGATGGGTCTCTTGGAAAGAGACAGCTTTGTCCTTCAGAGTAGTTTAAATACTCAAGTTTGGACGATTTGGCTATTTGTCTGATTTACCAGTATTTGACAAGAACTTCAACTGTAACCATTTTAAGAGAAGTAGTGCTTCAAAGACCTTGTCAGTATGTCCGATATTTACTTCAGTATCATCCTTCTAGCACAGTACACACTTCCTTTCTGCATATGCTTTCTGCAATGTCAATATATCATCTCTATTTTCAAATAACCTAGGCCAACTTACAAATATCTCATACATACAAGGTCCACTCCACATGAAGCTAGATACAAGGTTCTCTACGCCACAAACACAAAAAGTGACTTTCTTGCCATGTACTCCATGGGCGGTAGCTGTGAGGATAAGTTTATAGGATTAATCTATTTTTTGGTGGGAGGAGAGGAGATAGGTTCCCAGTGCGTTCGTGTTTCCATCTACCACAGTATTTAATCCCATGTCTCTAGGTAACATACCTTCTAATTATAACTGAAAACTAAGGAATTTTACTTCTAACTCTAAAAAAGAAGACAGGAGAATTTAGACGATAAAGACTAATTAAAAGGGGAAAAGAATACGCCACAAGTGTTTTCCTCCATATTTCTAGCTGCTATGTTGAATAACATTTTGTAGTCACACAAGCGAGAATATTTAACCTATTCATCACAAAGAATGGAGAGTGTTCATTTGGGGAAGCCAGTGATATAATTAACCACTATTTCTAAGATTTAGGTCACTAACAGGATAGAACATTCAAATACTTTGCCACTATGGATATAAAACATTGCCGTCTTTGAGAAACAAATCCTTGAGGAAAGTAATTTGTTATTGTTGTTTCATAACCAACCTGTTTCAGATGCCTCTTCAGGAGCAGTTTCAGCCACAGGGAAAACATTAAGTCTCTTCCCCATGAATAATCCTTTCCTAAAATCAAAGGGGGAAAAATTATTTCCTAAGAACACTTCCATATGCTCCAGTTTTAAGTTGTTTGTGAGAAAAATATTTTACATGAAATGTTTTAAAGGTATAAGTTAAAACAAGTTCTGACCCAAACCAGACTGATATCTCTTGGTAACAGACGCAATAAGGTTTATACCTTTGAATTTTTATTTCATTAAGGCAATTCATTAGGTAATGCAGTTCAATTCCCAACATTCTTACTGAAAGGATTTGTATAATATGCAATATTATACAAATATATATAATTTGTATAATATGTATAAATTATGTATAATATTTTATAGTTGATTTATTTCAACTTAAGTCATAAGAAAACCCAATGTAATGGCAAAATTATCATATCTCAGTTTAGCAGTTATTACTTCAACATTAGGAATACCATTTCTTGCCTTTTTAATTGCATAAAATACTGTACATTTTAATTACAAAAGATAACAGCTAAATCAAAACATTTCAACTTACAAAGCAGTCTCACTGTTTAGAATATTCATGTAGTTTCTACTTAATAGTCTTTTAATTAATCATAATTAATGACATGTTAATCTTTTTTTCCTATACTTCAAGTTCATTCTTTTTGCAAACATATTCCACTCTGATGAACTGTTTCATATTTCACTGCTTCCTGCTCTCATTTGCAGGATTTTCAAAGTGAAATGCCAATGTGACATATTAAAAACTAGCTTCTAAATTGGTCTTTGAACTGCTTTTAATCTACTCTTTCTGATCCCAAAACTTTCAACACATACTAGCAGGCTGGTAAGTCAGAAAGCCAGGGGTTCAAGTCATGTCTCAGATAAATACTAGCCATGTAGCCTTGGTGGAGTGCCTCTCAGGCCTTGGGGCAACTCTACACTTTTAAAATGCAGAGCACATTCACTCATCTGTAGTATAAGTTTCCTACAGCCAATGAAAGCATAGATTTGGATCATACATACATACATGTGCATCACAAATGAATTTGGAAAGTGTGAGTGGGATAACATAGGATTTTTAAGCTTTCATGTTTGTGTAAAGTGATTTTCCACCAACAGATAAGGCTCAGCAACCTAATGCACCCAAGGTGGAGACACAACTTTCCATAGCTTGCAAAGCCATTTTAGACATTAGGACCCAGGCAAAATTGGTTTTATGCCTCTCTTTCAATCTCCTGGGCTTCAATTTCTCACCCCATAGTGCTTTTTTTAAATTTTTTTTTTTACAGTTTTCTGGTTATTCAAAGCCCTCCAGGCCTGCTGTCAACTTAAAATAACAGTTCCCCCCCACTTCCTAGCAATTCAAACTGTCCCCACAGTAGAGATCTCAACTAGATATTAAGCAATCTAATTAGCTGATTATGGTAATTCTCAATAATGGAGAAATTGCTGATCAGCTTAAATCCCCAGGGTATATCTGCATTTTAATAGGGGAGCCCATTAATATAAACAATCTTTTAATTGGTGGGTTCTAAGTGGGAGACGTTTGGGAAGGGGGGGAAGTATACCATTCTGCTACTCACCTTCCAAACAAACACAGATGCCAAAATATGGCTGGAGGGTTGGGGATAGAAATCACTCCTTTAAACTGTACTGTTCCCAGGTTTTGACAGTCACTTCCCAACTATTAAAAGTAGATCAAAAAGGGTGGGAGGTAGAAAGGCCATATCTTTTTTTAATCTATTTTGGGTTCAAGTTTTGATAAGTTGTTCTGGTCAGTCAAGATCGTGTTAGATCCTGATTCTATCATGCAGTTTGTTAGCTATTTCTCCCAGTTTGTGTCACCTGCATGCCATGCATGTCTTTCAAGTCACTGACAAAAATGTTAATCAGCACAAGACCAAGCACAGATCCCCAGGTGACTCCAATGGAGACTTCCTATCAGGCGGACACGGAACCATTAACAACTACTCTGAATCCAGCCATTCAATCGGTTTGAATCCATATAATTACACTCTCTTCTAGTCCACATCTCTTCATCTTTTCCATAAGAATAGTATAAGAGACTTTAGCAAATATTTTGCAAAAATCTAGCAAGCTATAGCTACACAATTCCACTGATCTACCAGTTTAACAGTGGTTAGCTGCCAATTTCTACAGAGGTGTTTTCTTTCTCCTTCTTCTGAAATTACTTTGTATTTATTCATACGTGTTCATATTGTATCCCTCTAGTACAACGTAAGCTTTTTGAGGGCAGGGACTATTATTTTTATCTCTGAATCTTCAGGACCTAGCACAAAGTAGGCACTTATTAAAATTAACTTAATAAGGGAATAAAATAGATTGGTAGCTATGTAAATTGAGGGAAGAAGGGAGGGAAAAGCTGCTATGGAGGTAGAATACAACTTGACCACTGACTGAAAACGGGAAGTAAGGGAGAAGGAGGAGACCAGCATAACTGGATGGAGGTACCCTCACAACAGCAATAGGAATTGTCGGAGGAGGGACGGGTTTAGGGAGCTGAGGGATGGAAAAGATGAGTTATGTTTTGGATGTGACAAACAGAAGATGCTGAAGGAGATGTCCAGCACACCAATGGTGATGCTAAACTGCAAAACTGAGCGATTAGAGCTGTATATATAGACTTAAAAGTCATCTCTGTAGACAGGCTCATTGAACCCATGGAAGCTAATTAAATCAGAGAACCAAAAACAAAAAAAAGAGAGAATCAACATCTTATAAGTGCCCCAGAGAAAGTGTTGAAACAATAGATCATTTCACTCAGTAATGGTAACTCAGGAGATGTTGATTGTCTTTTTTTGTTTGTTTGTTTGTTTTTGGTTTTCTGATTTCCTTTGCTAAAGAGAAAGACCAGGGTATGTTAATATAAGCTGGTAAGAGTTTACTTCACGTCACTAATGGACAATGGAAAACCAGGCTGCCAGACGAAGACTGCTCATCTAAGACTTGGTCAAGTTTACTAGTCCAAGTCAGGAAAACTCTAATCAGTACAGATGCTCCTGGAACAATATCCGTACCTGGATGATGAATCCACCTCCGATGAACAGAACAGGGCAGCACAGACTGGGAGGACGGATTTTAATGTACCCTTTCTGCCTAATACACTATGGGCAGGCAGACACAGAAGAGAAATCCATAACCAAGAGAAGGGAAGGAAACTTATAGGCATAGTTAGAAAAATGAAGCAAACAAAAATTGAGAATTAAAGAGAAGTACCTTTTCCTAGAATCATGGTCCAACAACTCTTTCACAGACAAAAATCCATGTCCTTCATCAAACTGAATCTGACGGTCTGGCCTGGTATAAATTCGAGATGCAGATGACTTGGCGATCTTCATATCTGAAATTATGTCACTGAAATTTAAATAACAAAAATGGCTAAATAAGCACTGAAAATTCTAACCACAAAATAGTAATACGCTTGCTGACTTGTAATGATGACTCATGCTACTTAATCTTTATATCAGGTTACTATAACCACTTTGAAACTGACAAGTATGAATCAGCAACCATACAAGACATCAGTTAATATTCCCTTACTTCAGCTCTTTAAGGTTCTCATTTTATCTTTTTTAATTGTTCTTTGGATTTCTTCATTAAAAACTGTAGTAGTCCTTCAAACTTAAAATAAATCACAAGCTCTGAACTTAAAAGAATAAAAGACAATCTCAATGAAACTATACTCCACAGCAAAGATACTTCAGGTCACTAATTCACTGTTATGATATATGTGAACAGCTAGAAGCTCTCTCTCTTATTCTCTCTCAATTTTTAACAAGGATAGATTGGTAAACTTTTTTTCATTTCTATCTGGGAGAAAATAACATTCAGAGAGCTGAGTGAAAGAACTTGCTCAAGCTTACAGTAAGAGTTTTAGGAATAATTTTATAGATTCTGAAGAACTTCATCCCCTCAAGTCTTTCATACAACAGGAACACAGAATGTTAGAAATTAAAGTGACCATATTAGGCCAACTCATCAAAATTCTTAACAGCTATATTAATACCCTTATTACTCTCTAGGTAGTCATCTAGTCTCTATCTTTTCTCTTGCTCTGCGTCCTCTGTATTGTTTAGTTCTATACCATGTGCTCCATGCAGTAGACCTCACCCTTCTTTTTTTCCCCAAACAGACTTTTAAAAAGTTTTTGGTTTTTTTGGGTAACTCTCCATCTACTCCTAGCCTTTTAAAAAACAAGTCTCGGCTTATCTGAGGCCTTAGTCTTCTTGATACTATTTCTGTAGGTCTATGCCACTTTGGAAGACTCCCTTAGTCCCATGTCCCTTTTTTTTTATACATACGTTTTTAAAATCTGGGCTTATCAGATAGTTCTCTTTGGGGAAGCTCCATCATTCTCTTTGTGTTGGCAGACTTTCATTTCTGAAACTCTTCCATTCCTTTTGAACTGTCTTCTCCTTTATAATCTCAGGCCAAAGAGGGATAACTGTCTTTTCTTTGATCTTGTTGAAATTTGTTTCCTTAAAATCTAGAGTATGTCTTATATGTCCAGATTCACTGGCAATCATGAACTTAAAATTTTTTTCTTTCATCTTATTTTATCTTTCAATTAACAAGCATTCATTTTTTTCTTACCTTCCCCATTAAGCCCTCAATTTAAAAGAAAAACATTTTTAACAAATATTCACAAACAAGCAAAATAAATTCTCACACTGTCCATGTCAAAACATGTGTGTCTCATTCTGAATCTTGAATTCATAACCTCTCTGTTAGGAAGTAGGTAGCGCAGTAAATCATCAGTCTTCTATCAAAGTTATCTTTATGGACATTGTTATTGTAAACATTGTTCTCTTGGTTTTGCTCACTTGACTCTGTATCAGTTTATACAAGTCTTCCTAGGTTTCTCTGATTATCATACCCTTCATCATTTCTTACAACACATTATTCCGTTCATTTATATACCATAGCTTGTTCAGTCATTTCCCAAATGATAGGCACCCCCTCGGTTTCTTGTTCTTTGCTACTAAAAAAAGAGCTGCTATAAATACTTTTTATAATATGTGTCCTTTTGCTCTGGGTATAGACCCAGAAAAGATCTCATTGGGTGACAGGGAATGCACAGTTTAGTGACTCTCAGAACCTAGTTATATATTGCTTTCCAGAATAGCTGTACCCAATTCACAGTTCCACCAATGATGAATTAATGTCTTTTTTCTCCTTAGCCCATCTGACATGTCATTATCCATTTTTGTCATCTTTGCCAATCTGATGAAAGTGAAGTAGAACCTCAGAGCTGCTTTAATTTGCATTTCTCTAATTATTAGTGATTTGATGCATTTCTTCGTATCTTGGATAGCTTTGAGAACTGCCTGGTCATCAACTAATCATTTATCAATTGGAGGATGGCTCTATCATGAACTTTAAAATGACAAATTCTCCATAGGTTTTCATCATTTTTATTTTGATCACTAATTTCTTTACTGATCAGAATTAGCTGCTTAATTGCAACAGAAAAATACTGAGAAAACAACCTATATGTCTAGCACTAGATAAGAGCCAATATATGTTATATTAAGGTAATAAAATATAGTGATATGAATAATACAAAACACACAAGGAAATGTAGCAAGAGTTGTATGAAGCAATAAAGAAAAAAATTCAGCAAAGTCAGAACTCTGTAAAATCTGACTACAACTATGATCCCACGAACTACATTTAAAAAAAAAGAAAAGGAAAACATCATTAAAACTGCATCTTACTCTGGTCCTTCTGGAACCCCTCCCCTTCTAATCAATATAATAAGTTTATAAGTAGCCAGTATAAAAGTGAAATAGCAGAAATTAAGATGTAAAGCAGAACTTGGAAGTCATGTCACAAATGATCCCAAAGATCAAAGGAGCATAATTTACAAACTGTATCATATAGTAACCAAAATTCACATCCTGGTAATAGGTGCTGAGTCAGCAGAAGCCATCCAGGTATTGTTGTCAGGGTTCTGGTCCTATGATATGTTAATTCTAGACAAATCCCAGACCTCCACAATTCCAGACCAAGAGAACATCAAAAAAGACCTGATAACTTGGAGATAATGAGGACATGTTAACTTTAAAGTTTTACCGCTAATGTTGAGATGATTTGTATATGTTAATCAACTAATAATGTTCCCTCCCAAATCCCTATGAAAATGAGACTTCAAACTCCTGCCCCCCAAGCCTTCTTCTATCTCCTTCAGGTCCCTGCTGCCTAGTGCTCCCAACTCTAATCCATGGTTATGTGAGTGATATTCTCTGCCTCTCCCCCTCCTCTTTCTTCACCATCCTATTCCCCCATCCCCACACCAACATCTGCCTCTTTTGCTGCTTGTCTCTGCCTTTATGAGCTTCTTCCCCCATGCCTTCTGTGCTTAATTAAAGTATGATTAGCACCTCATTTCCTGCTGCCAGTCATGGTCTTTCCAGGCAAGTACCCAAAGAACAAGGAACGCCTGCCCCCATTTCATAATTTCATAAATTAATTACACACCCAAAGACTGTGGAACTTCAGGCAGGCTAGGAAGGGGACACAAAACAAATGCATTTTCTTTGCTTTAAAAAAAAAATTCTAATATATTTTGCTTTTGCTCTAACAGATACTTTGTTTTTTAAACATTTTTTTAAAAATCTTGAGGTCCAAATTCTCTCCCTCCTTCCAGTCCCTCCCTTACCCATTGAGAGGGCAAGCAATATATCAATTACACATGTTAAGTCATGCAAGCATATTTCCATATTAGCCATATTGCCACCCCTCCCTTTCCACCAAGCAAGGAAAAAAGTATGCTTCAATCCACACTCAAGAGTTCACCAGTTCCCCCTCTGGATATGGATAATATTTGTCATCATGAGTCCTTTAGAATTGTCTTGGGTCACTGTATTGATCAGAGGTACAATCACTCTAACACTACAAAAGGCAACAGTTTTGTTTTATAGGACAATTTCCAGGTAATGTTAATGTATCTGTATAAATCTGAACACGCTCCTTTTCATAAAGTTTTATTAAAAAATTTAACTCACTTTTATGTTTAAGTTTAAAAAAAAATAATCCTTTGCATCAGATTAATTCTCAAATAATCCTAACAAGCAAAAGCTATGTGTTTAAGGATTATATACATTTCAACACTTAGAATTATAGAATTTTAGACACCAAAATGACCTTAAAGATCAACCATTCATTTTTATATGTGAAGAAAACTAAGGTTTAACTGGGGGTTACATAACTTGTTAACAGTCATACAACTAGCTGATACTAAGCAGAACCAAGACTATAACATTGGTCTTTACTCCCTTTCCACAACTTCTTCCTATATCGTATTGGTGGCAGATAGTTCCACACAGAGAAAATTTTAAATGCTATTATGATCCCTAACATTTTGCTGATATATATTATGATGGCAGGATAGTAGGTCAAGAGATAGCAAGAAATGCAGAGACCATCTAATCTAATTCCCTCATTTTTAAAGATGAAGAAAATGAGGCTCTTCAAGGAGGTTAAATGTCTTGCCCAAGGTAGCCCAGTTAGTGAGCACTGAAGTAGGAGGTGAACCTATGCCCTTGGACTCCAGAGCCAGTGCTTTTGGCATGGAATTTTGTTCTCTGTTAGTGTCTAATTCTCCTTGCAATCACTGGCACAAGTCTATGCAGGTTAAGAATGCCATTTTTGGCCACTAAATATCACAAAGCTGACTTGTCTCACAGAACTACAACCCTTGGCCATGGTCTCACCAACCTTATCTTCTATCTGGAGCCATAAGCTGCAACTAACACTATGAATCCTCCCTTGCCTTGCCCCTTCCACCTGGGCCATTTACCTGCTCACAGGGCCTGAAGGAAATGGGCATCACTCACTCTATTCCTCCTACTGGGAAGGAGAATGGTAGGTCTTACCATCTGCCCTGTCAATGCCTCCAGAGGTCCACCTAGGCCTTGCTTCTACATGCCTGGCAGCTCCTTGGTGCTGTCATCTGACCTCCTGATACCACCTAGAAAACCCTGGGCCTTGCTACCCTCCCCATCTCTACACCCTCAGGTCTTCTGGGTCTTTCTATCTGCCCTTTGACTAATACATGAAAATACTGTCTCTCACAACTAAAGTATAAGAAGTGGCTATTCCAGTTTTTTCTATGTGTATCGTCAGCACTTAGTTCAGTGCTTGGCATACAACGGGGGCTTAACAAATGCTTTATCCTTCCTTCAGTCATCTTCGTCATCATCATCAAATAACAGTTTTCTCTAATATCCCAAGCTGATGGCAATGTTCCCTTTCAGTATTTCCTAACTCTCTAATATACTCACTATGTAAGTGAATTACTTTTGTTTTTGGTCAAAATGAAATCTATGACTTCATTGACTAGAGAGCTCTCC